CTCCTCTGAGCACCCTCACCAACCAGCTCTCTCAACATCACGATTGTAACCACGCTGCCACTTCCCAGCACCAGCCATCAAGCTGCATTGTACATCCAATATAATATGTATACAGAGAGCACACTGTGAGTTCCCTTTCTCCATCCCATCCTGAGTGTGAACCCAAATATCTCATAACTCCACAAATGGTGACCCTGGAGTGACCACTCACACAGGTAGGAGGAGAAACTGATCACTCTCCCAGTCTTCAAGCAACATGGAAGACTGGCTTACCCACGCAGAGGCAGCTCTCATCGGCTCTACAGCTACTGTCTCTACACCGCAGGTTAGACACCCTAGAGCAGCTCTGCTACTCTAAGCAGACAGCCGCTCCTCTTCCTGCCCCAAGCACCACGTCCTACCGACCCCAATACACCCGTCCTGCCTCAGACGCCGCCCCCGGCCCAGCAGTACCCCCTGCCGCTCCTCCTGATGCAGCCCCTGCTCCCGACGTGGCCCATGCGCCTGAGTGCGGACCCACACACCCCTCTTTTCTCCCTCAGGTACTCCCTGCTACTGTCCTGCACCCTGCTGCTGTCGTGGACCCTGCTGCTGTCATGCACCCTGCTGCTGTCACTGACTCTCCTCTGCTCCTGCTGACGCAGCCCCTGCTCCTGACCCAGGCCCATACACCCCAGCAGGCGCATCTGACGACTCTGTACCTGCCGTGAGGGAAGCACAACATTCATCGCCTCCACACACCCTTTTTCTCCCTCTCTACTCCCACAGATATTGTGTATCTAGACCAGGGGTTCTCAACCAGGGGGGGATTTCCCCCCTCAGGTTTTCAGGTGGGGGGAAAACTGATACTAATATGGAAAAATAAAGGAGTTTCAGTATTATATGCATATTATTTAGAATGCACTTTTTGAGGTAGACAATCTTGGAAAGGAGGGGGGAAATGACATTCTGACATATGGTGAAAGGGGTGCATGGGGCAAACAAGGTTGAGAACCACTGATCTAGACAGTTGTCTCCTCTAGCGGCCGGCTCTTCCACGCCCTCGCCGTTATGGCTCACATGTGGCATGCACCGCCCGTTCTGCCTCACATGTGCCATGCGACCCTGCAGACAACAAGTCTCCTACACCGCCTGGAGGGAAGGGGGGAGTACTGTAGTGGATACCTCCCCTACAAACGCTGTTTGTCGCTGAGTAGCCGACCCCGCGAATTACCCAGTGTATGCCTTGTGGTCTAAGTCAACCAGCGCCGCCTTACATGACGGAGGTCAACTATTAAGCCACGCATACCTCCGCTATATAAGACCTGACCTCGTGGTGACCTACCTCTCTTTTCTACCTACACCAACCAGCAAGCAACACCTCCTCCTCCTCCTCCTCCTCCTCCTGCCTGGCGGCCCTCGCTCCTGCCGGCGAGCATGGCGACCCACAAGCTGGTCCTCCTCTGAGCATCCTCACCAACCAGCTCTCTCTACATCACGCTTGTAATCACGCTGCCACTTCCCAGCACCAAGCTGCACTGTACATCCAATACAATATGTATACATGAGAGCACATTGTGAGTTTTCTTTCTCCATCCCATCCTGAGTGTGAACCAAACATCACACACCCCACAAGCCCCTCGACGCTCAGAACGGATCCACAGGAAAAGGTCCGCTCAAGACTTTGCTATGAGCGTATAGGGGGGGGGGAGGTGTATGTATATTATGTATGTTGTATGTATACCATGTATGTACTCTATATATACACATTATTTCTCTAGTCAGTAGCGTGTGGCAATGCCCCTGTTTCATGTCACCACACGCTTAGATAAATGTGCCTGGCGACATCTGTAAGCTGCTAGTATACCACTTACCACATGTCGCCTGAGAGGTCAGAGTGAGGTCAGTTGACCCCTATAGGAGTGTAAGGACTACCTGCGCTTGTAAGCGCACCTTGTATATTTCCGTTAATAAGAACCTACAGAACTCTACAGGTGTTTATGTTCGCCCCTGTAGTTAGAACCAAGTACCCCGAACATCTCCAGGTGTTATTAATGTGTCCATGCCATTGTCGTAATTAATAATCAGTTGTAACGAAGTGGTGTTTGAGAAGTCGTCCTTAAGGACGTAATAGATGTGTATTGACGTATAAGATAAGATAAGTGTATTGACGGTGTAAATAACTAACGGGCTACGCTACCAAACTCTTCCTCTCTTACATTCCTCTTACTATAAATATTCTACCTACATATGTAATCCTCTTCATACAAGATCCGTCTTGTTACATCACTCTTGAAGATCGTTACGAGGGATGGACCGTCTAGATATGTGAACGACCTTCTTATAAGACACAATAATTTATTTGCCTGATTTACCTTCTCGCTATGGGCCGATAACTTCAGCTCATTGTCAACATACACACCTAGGTCCTTCTCACATTCAGTCTCGAATAGTGCAGTTTCTTCATCCCGTTGGGACATAATGATACGCCTCCTTACCGTTGGTACACCCTAGGTGCATCCTCTTACACTTCGTGACATTGAATCTCAGCAGCCATTTCTTCGACCATTCTTGGAGACCACAGAGGTCCTTCTGCAGCTTTTCACAGTCCGCTTGGTTCTTGATTTCCTGAAATACCTTGGCGTCATCGGCAAACATTTGTATGGAGGAGTGTACAACGTCAGGCATGTCATTTATGAAACAAACAAACAACAGCGGGCCCAATACACTGCCCTGTGGTACCCCGCTTGTGACAGGTACGGATGATTATTTCGTGCCATTAATCACCATACACTGCTTGCGGTCATGTAGAAAGTCTTCTATCCACGCTAGGACATTTCCCGGAATTCTGTACCCTTCCAGTTTGATTTTCAGCCTTTCGTGGGGTACACTGTCTAAAGCCTTGGCAAAATTTAGGTAAATATTGTCAATATTACCACCCCGTTCACACATTCCAGTACTTTTTATTTAATGCAGTATTGTACTCAGGCGTGTTTGTAAGGTAAAAAGAAATTGCTATTGACCTCAGACTATCCTAATATCAAGTGCATATGTCCTCAAAATGCCCATGATATTGGTCAGATTTAAAAAATTTCCGAGGGGATCTTAACGCACCCCAAAAAAACCATCTGAGTCGGAAGGGCTCGCTGTGCTCGCTATGTTCCCCTACCTACAATTTCTTGGACCCCCCCATTGATATTCCTGGACCCGCCCCTGTTAAGTAGCGTTTAATAGTGTTAAGATTCAACGTTACGAAACTTATCATTAACTGAGACTAGAAGTAAGCAGGATGATTGTGGAACCAGGGATGTTGCATGCAGTTTTGCAACTGTTACAGTATAAAATTGAGTCTATGGGTGACAGTGAACGTCTATGTTTTTATCTTTTGATGAAACAAGTGTCAATGACGGTAACACTTGTCATGTGATGTCATAATTGTAGTCACCTCTCTTTACACCTGCAGACAGAGGCAGCACCTGTGTTCACCTGTCCTTATTAACACCCTGCTCCCCTATAATCTGGCGTCAGTGGCAGGACTTGTCATGTGAGGTCATAACTCCCGTCACCTCATGTCTACATTATTAATATAATGAACACAACAGGGAGGAAAGGAACTACTGTAGGCAGCTGTACATACAGTATAGTTATAATTAACTTATCTTAAGCTGCACTTATTTAGCCACTAAGCTATAATTGAAATACATTGACTTTCTTTTAACCTTTTCTTCTCTGGTACTGCATGTTATAATATTCTGTATCACCTACTGCACTGATTGGTGTCCTTAGCTAAAGTTATAAGCAAGATTAGACTCTCAACTAGTATTATTTTCTATGTAAGATACTGAGACAATACAGCGCAGTATGTGGAACCATAAAATTTGTCCTGTTTATAAGAGGTGAGAGGTAGGGTTGTGGGGTATGGTATGTTTGGGTTCACACTCAGGATGGGATGGAGAAAGGAAACTCACAATGTGCTCACTGTATACATATTGTATTGGATGTACAATGCAGCTTGGTGCTGGGAAGTGGCAGCGTGGTTACAAGCGTGATGTAGAGAGAGCTGGTTGGTGAGGGTGCTCAGAGGAGGACCAGCTTGTGGGTCGCCATGCTCGCCGGCGAGAGCGAGGGCCGCCAGGCAGTGGCGGAGGAGGTGGTGTTGCGTGCTGCGGCTGTAGCTAGAAGAAGAGAGAGGTCACCACGAGGTCAGGTCTTAAATAGCGGAGGTAGGCGTGGCTTAGTAGTTGACCTCCGTGATGTATGGCGGCGTTGGTTGACCCAGACCACGAGGCATACACTGGGGAATCCGCGGGGTCGGCTACTCAGCGACAAACAGCGTTTGTAGGGGAGGAATCCACTACAGGGTTACCGAGCTCTCGAGTCAACCAAGTGACGTCAGCGAAACGCCGCCCACCTGCGCACGGGATGTCCACCTCTTCTAGAACTTGGTCTTGGATACAACAATTGTAAGTTCGGTTTGAGCGTGCTAACTTAAGCAGGCTATCGCGGTAGACTTAAGTCAGGCGTTAGTGCATCCGGAGACGATGAAGACAGAGTGCGTTATGGGAAAAGATTGGGTGGTTGGGGGTTGAGTAAGAGTGGGATATAGGTGAGGTTATGTATGATGGGGTTTAAGGACTTTGGGGGTAGTGCGTGGTGGAGGGAAGTTGGGGCGGTGTGTGGTGGAGGGAAGTTGGGGCGATGCATGATTGGGGGTTAGGAGGTGAGAGTGATAGGTAACAGAAGAGGGGAAGAATGGGGGTGGCTATTTAATTATGGGGTTGCAGGAAGTGTGGGGTGACTGTGTGCGGGGGCTGGGGTTAGATAATGGCGTTGCATGGTTGGGAGTTAGAAGGGGATGATGTTAGGTGAAAAGGAGCAGGAGAGGAACGTGTGTATTGTGCGTTGCGGATGGGAGGAGAAAGGGAAGCATGTGGGTTCCGCGCTGAGGGGGGTGGAGGGGAGGGGGGAAGATGGGTCGTGCGCTGCGGGAGGGTAGAAGCTAAAGTGAGGGCGGCCAGTGTTGAGTGGTGGACAGACAGTCAGTGTGAGGAAGGCACCGTGGGAGGAGTCAGTGACAGTGGAGTGTGTCATCAATCATACTCAATACATCTAAGACTCCTCAGACTTACAGAATCTCTCACCTCTTATCATAAGTGTCGATTACAGATATATATATATATATATATATATATATATATATATATATATATATATATATATATATATATATATATATATATACATATATATATATATATATGTAAAAAGCCTCTTGAAAACAAACCACAGAAGAAACGCATAAGTGCCAATGACCTTTTAAAATACAAATTTAAAAAGTTTAATCCGTGGTTCCAAGAATTCCTCAAACTTAAGTCAACTTTAGTTCAGCTTCGCCACCATACCAATACACCAAACTCGTTAAGTTATTCCACAAATACACTCAGCCTGTTAAGTCATCCCATATTCCATTTTTTATCCTTCCATATGTGGCGTCCAAAGTGATATCCCATTGAGACACATTAGTGAAGACTGAAAAAAAACAACAACAATAATCTAAGAAAGGAAGAAACAAGCAATAATAAATAAAAAGTGGTGCTTGAACTGTCAAATATCCCACAAACACACGCACGCACATGGTCACACACACACACGCACACGCTAAGGACTGTGGGATTTGGGTTTCCTAAAAGAAACATAGATAAAAATTTGTTTACACCATAATAAAAGGTTGTAGATGAGGAATTCTGTATCGTGGAGACCTTAACCAGACCTATCAGTACTGTGGAGGTAAGAGATGATAATGTTTGAATTACCTGAAGATTAAGCACCCACCTTATTTCACCTGAAGATTTAATATCCCAAATGTTACTTGTGGGGCCTGTGAGGGTTATGTGTTATGTTATATTAGGTCCAGCCAGGTTAGGTTAGGTTAGGTTAAGATATGTTGGTTAGATTAAATTAGATTAAGTCATCAGTTGAAATAAGCAAGGGTGCCTAATCTTCGAGCGATCCATATATTGTATCACATCCTTAAAACAACACAAATACTGGTGATTCAAAACAAACCACAGACCTGATGGGCGTTTTGTGACTTTGAGCTGTGTTGAATCATCACTTGTGGCAGTGGGGTGAATTGTTATCATTTCGTAACAGGTCAGCGATTGAACACCCACTGAACATGAAAAAGAAGTAACAAGTCATCAAAGAATCTGTGATAAATTATGGACATGATTTTATTAGGTTTCATAATATAATCACAGAGCCATAGACGATAAAAAATATGCCAAGAAATATACTAGAGGTACTGTACAATGGATGTGAACTACCGTAAGTACCTGTAGGCCACATTGAGTGCACCACTGGGGTATAGAAGTACAGTATCGACTATAAAAGATGTTTTCGATTCAGTACAATATGATCTCTTAAAACATTATGAGAAAGGAAAGAACTAAAAAAAATATATATATTAAAAAATTTTGGTGACAAAAAGTAATGTTACGTCTGCATAAACACTCTTTGGAGATTATTTTGTTATATCCTTTCGTTTATGATATCGGTGAGGTATATCGCAGGAGAGAGAGAGAGAGAGAGAGAGAGAGAGAGAGAGGAAGAAGGACCTGACATCACACTTCCTCTCAGTTCCTGCTCACTGGTTAACACGCCCTCCTCGCCCTCTATTGACGCCGCTCACTCATGTAGCAATAAATGACAAAGAGTGGCAGACTATACTGACTTATTTAAGATTTCCACCGTAGGTTCTATCTGCGTCACGGGTCCTTTCACATTTACCACAAAGAATGTATCAGAATAATTTATGATTCATTATATAACCGTCTGTGTAATGGGTTCAATTATTATATAAGACCAAATAATCTGCCAAGTATAAAACCAATTTTACGTATTTGAGTGAGGAGAAATAGGACATATATAATTTTTATCTCAGGCTTCGTGTTGCGTAACGATACATCTCCATCTACTTCGGTGAAAAACAAAACAAAAGAAAGACGCTTCTCTCTAGGATATCCAGTCAGCTAAGGTCGAAGCGATCCCCGTGATACGAGATCTTGGTCAACATTCTGTAGTTTAGGAAAGGATAGGCGACACCAGTGGAAGGATGGGGTGAGGGTGTGGGTGAGTGAGAGGAGTGAGGGTGTGGGTGAGTGAAAGGAATGGGGTGAGGGTGTGGGTGTGAGGGATGGTGGTGTGGGTGAGTGAGAGGAGTGAGGGTGTGGGTGAGTGAAAGGAATGGGGTGAGGGTGTGGGTGTGAGGGATGGTGGTGGTGTGGGTGAGTGAGATGGGTGGTGGTGTGGGTGAGTGAAAGGGGTGGTGGTGTGGGTTATACAGGCTGGATGACCTGCAGCAGTCAATATATAACCTGAAAACAGTTGCTGTCCATTTCTCCAGGGCAGAAGTTGCATCGTAAGATCTATTAGTATAGGATTCAGCTGTCCAAGTGGCAGCTGTAACACCCCAGTCCTGCAGACACCCACCAGGCGTCTGCTGTACGTGATCAAGGAGGCAGGACAAGGCAGCCCTTCCCCCTACAACAGACACGCTGGCTACGCAAAATCCTTGTACCTCACTTCTGTGGAGACTTGTATTGTTCGCCACTGGTTGAGAACAGATGATTCAACATTAATATTTTGAGGTTGTAGAGTTATGAGAGATGTTTGGTGATGGTAATGGTGGTGATATGGTGATGATGATGGTACTGAGGATGATGATAACCCCTTCACTCCGGGGAGATCACTTTCGATAATTAATTTGGCTAACGCCACATGATTTTATTCAGTTCTGTATTTTGGCGGTTCAGGTTATTATAGAAACTCCCTATTGCATTTTTCCTTTAACATGTTGTAGTAGTGATATATTATCTAATTTAGTCTGCTACTGAAACTAACAGAGTCCCCCGTCTTCAGGTTGTCGGAGAGGAGAGTGAAGTGTGATGGCTGGGTGTCCGCGCCTTGTGAGGTGCTTACCAGGTGCCACCACCACCCTCACACTAGCACTACTGGCCCTCCTTCTGCCTCCTGCTGCCCACGGGTGAGTAGTGACATAAGGGCAGTGTGAGTAGGTAGTATGAGTGGGTCAGTATGAGTAGGGCAGTGTGATTAGGTAGTATGAGTGGGTCAGTATGAGTAGGGCAGTGTGAGTAGGCAGTATGAGTGGGTCAGTATGAGTGGGACAGTGTGAGTAGGCAGTATGAGTGGGTAAGTATGAGTGGGGCAGTGTGGGTAGGCAGTATGAGTGGGTAAGTATGAGTGGGGGGTAGGGTGAATAGGGCAGGGAGTGTGTACGTGGATCATTGTGAGTGAATATGAGTGTGACAGTGTAAGTAGGTCAGTATAAGGTCAGCGTGAGTAGTATGTAAGTGTGAGGATGTGTAGGGCATCAAAGTGTGACTGTGTAAGTTGGTATATAAGTATATATATATGTGTGTGAGTGGTCAAGTATTATTGTAAATATATGTATTTCTAGTATGAATGAAAGTGTTGGAATGTTTATATATGTGTGTGTGTGTGTGTGTGTGTGTGTGTGTGTGTGTGTGTGTGTGAGCCCTGTGCAACTGTGGTCTCATTCTCACCATTACCTCTCACCATAAACCATCAGCTTTCACCATTCTCACCACACCCTTCACTACTGCTAGGGAGACGAAGGGCTTCACCATTGACGACATCATGCCCCTGGACAAGAGCAACTACGACAAGATGCGTCCGCCCAAGAAGGAAGGGAAGGCGACTGTTGTGTTCTTCCACGTTACTGTCATGGGCATCGACTCCATTAATGAGAACTCTATGGTACGGCCCCTTACGTTGTGTAGTGCTTGTAGCGTCCCACCCTTACGTTGTGTAGTGCTTGTAGCGTCCCACCCTTACGTTGTGTAGTGCTTGTAGCGTCCCACCCTTACGTTGTGTAGTGCTTGTAGCGTCCCACCCTTACGTTGTGTAGTGCTTGTAGCGTCCCACCCTTACGTTGTGTAGTGCTTGTAGCGTACGTTGTGTAGTGCCGTAGCGTCCCACCCTTACGTTGTGTAGTGCTTGTAGCGTCCCACCCTTACGTTGTGTAGTGCTTGTAGCGTCCCACCCTTACGTTGTGTAGTGCTTGTAGCGACCCTTACTGTGTAGTGCTTGTAGCGTCCCACCCTTACGTTGTGTAGTGCTTGTAGCGTCCCACCCTTACGTTGTGTAGTGCTTGTAGCGTCCCACCCTTACGTTGTGTAGTGCTTGTAGCGTCCCACCCTTACGTTGTGTAGTGCTTGTAGCGTCCCACCCTTACGTTGTGTAGTGCTTGTAGCGTCCCACCCTTACGTTGTGTAGTGCTTGTAGCGTCCCACCCTTACGTTGTGTAGTGCTTGTAGCGTCCCACCCTTACGTTGTGTAGTGCTTGTAGCGTCCCACCCTTACGTTGTGTAGTGCTTGTAGCGTCCCACCCTTACGTTGTGTAGTAGCGTCCACCCTTACGTTTGTGTAGCGTCCCACCCTTACTGTGTAGTGTATAGCGTCCCACCCTTACGTTGTGTAGTGCTTGTAGCGTCCCTCCTACGTTGTGTAGTGCTTGTAGCGTCCCTCCTACGTTGTGTAGTGCTTGTAGCGTCCCTCCTACGTTGTGTAGTGCTTGTAGCGTCCCTCCTACGTTGTGTAGTGCTTGTAGCGTCCTTTCACTGTAATGTATTTCTCACTTAACCAGTTCAGATCACACAAGCTGTATATATATATATATATATATATATATATATATATATATATATATATATATATATATATATATATATATATATAACATGTATATAATAAAACATAGACAAAGAATAAACGAACAGAATTATAATAAAGACAAAGATAAACAATAAAGGGGCGTAAATATAAAGACGTATAAGACATAGGAGCATAATATAAAGTACACAAAACAAGTATATAGTGTACAAACTTATATAACTATGATAGCATAATAAAGATGTGCAATATATCCTCGTTCACACAGACCTACGCTGCCGACATCTTTTTCGCCCAGACCTGGAAA